ACCACCAAAGCAGCAGGATATAACTTGCCAGTTGAAAAAGGTACAGAGCCACATGGTTAAAATAGATCAAAACAATGGGTTAATATAAGTTACAAGAACTAATAAGAAGCCTGACCTAATGGGCCAATCAGCTTTATAACTTATGGAGATCTATGTGTGATTTTCTTTGGGGCTAAACAGCTGTGGAAACTGGGCAGGACAAAAAATACAAACAAACAGGCTCCTTCATGTTACAATTGTGCATATATGTATATGTACACAAACACATGTACACATATACACACCTAAATAAATAAAAATAGTTGCAACCTATGAGCTGTCATTGGATTGCAATTGTACAAAGCAAACTGGAAAAGCACTTGTTGCTCAACCTGGAAAATTTGAGTATGTCCTCAGTTTTAGGTGATCTCAGGTGGTTTTTTTTATTGTTTTAATATTTCTGGGTGTGATAAGGTACTAAATCAGCATCAGAAATTGTTCTTAGTTGAAGAAATATACTGGCAGATTATTGCTAAATCTTATCAGATCTAACCCAGTTTATCATGTAGCAATAAATTTAGGCAGAGACCTAAGCATCTCCATAATACTTGCAAATAAAGAAAGCATTGACATGTCTTTTCTCTGTGTGATAGGCATATGAATGTCCAATATTTTGTGACTTCACGTGCAAGTTTGAGTTTTTCATAGAAAACTAAAATATTGGAAAGAAAATGAAGTAAGACACTGTGTGGAGTGTGGACAGTGCATCGTTAAAACTCAAACCTGTGTTCAATTCCCACACTAATCCAGAAGTCTAGCGAGGTGAACATGGTTTTAGTCTGCTGACTTTCCCCTCTTCTGAGTCTGAATGGTGCTTCTGACCTTCTGCCACCTTCACTGCACCAAGAACCACCCATTGATTTAGAGAGAGATCAATACTCACTCTCTACTTGACTTGTTGCCCACCTAGAGAAAATGTTCGCTATCGGATAAAGTCACTTCTCAATTGTAGAGACAAGCACCTATAATAAATATATTGGTTGAACTTGGTGTGTTGTTATTTTTTCTATACTCCCACCTCTTCTGTCTTAAGAGGTAAATGAATTTCTCTTTTTCCCTAAGGTGATTTTCATCTTTGCCCTATCCTTTCTTTTATCTCTTCTTAATGCCTCTAAGACCTCGCTCTGATCGCTGGGCTTTAGTTCTGTTTTAGTCTTTTGTTGACTTTCAGCCTTCAGATTAGTACACATACTGTCTGTCGAAGATGAGCACACACACAGACACACACACACACACACACACACACACACACACACACAGATGCACACACACACCTGCTACCACCAAATAAAAACTGATTTCTTTTTTTACCACCCACTCAGTGGCCAATATGTGCTGAACTAGCTCTCTCCTGAGCTAGATTTCTGCTAGCTACAGGCTCCATAAACCAGGACCATTTCTCTGGCACTCGTTCATTATTCCCATTCCTTTTGTGAACCCACTCTTACTAAGGTCAGAAAAAGTCAACGTGATAGTCAAATCCAGTGTTCCCTTTGTTTTGTTCACCTATCTCTTTCTCTTCTGCTTCTTTTAAAAGACACATCCAGGACACCCGGTGGTGGAGAGAATAAGAATGTCCGCCATAGGTTCATATTTTCCAATGCTTAGCCATTAGGGATTAGTGCTGTTTGAGAAGGATTAGAAGGCCTTGTTGGAGGAAGTATGTCACTGGGGGTGGGGTTTGAGGTTTCAAAAGTCTAGCCCAGACCTAGGACTCTATCTTCCTGTTGCTTACAGATCTGTATATAGAACTCTCTGTTAGCTCTCCAGAACCATGTCTGCCTGCATGCCACCATGCTCCCAGCCATGGTGATAATGGACTGGATCTCTGAAACTGTAAGCCAGCTCCAATTAGGTGCTTTGTTTTATATGAGTTGTCATGGTCGTGGTGTCTCTTCACACCAATAGAACATTGATGAAGGCATTTCTGACCCCCTCTCCCATATTTTAACATTTTCACCTGGTAGCTTCCAGAGACAATCTCAGTCTTACTACTGTTTGCGACTGCTGACAATGTAGAAATGCAGGTCTCTTAAAACAGAATTGGACTTTATTGGCTTTCCTGGATATTTTACTGCCAGTCTTAGAGCTGTAGTAGTTCTATTAATATAGCCTCTGTCTTTGTCTGGCAGCCTCAGTTTCCCTCCTTCATTTTCAACCCTTTGTGTGATATGGTTTTCTGTTTTTTCAATATTATTGTCTGATGATATTATCAACTTAGTTCCTACCCTGGCCACCTACTTGGGCTGTTTCCTTAGCTTTTGCTTAAATTCCTTCCATTCTCTTATTTAATTTAATTTTCTTGCATTCCAAGATCCTCAGTAGATGTTTGGAATCGCACACAACACAGAATTGTATTTTTTTTCCTATTCCTATAACCAATGATGTAAAGTTTAATGCATGAACCTGGTGGAATAAGAGATTACCAACAACCACTAATCATAAAGTAGAATAATGAAAATGATATAATTAACAATAACATAAGACAACTGTATGGTTCAGAGAATGAGCTGCAGTAAACATATTTTCAGTTTTGAATGAGTGAGCTTATTAAGTATATAGCAAGTCAAAATAAAATGAAATAAAAAATACCCACTTGAAGTTTTCAATAGAGAGAGTCCCTGGGCAGAGCAGAACTTGGATGAGGTTTCCAAATAAAAGAACAAATAAAAACTGTTAGAGAAAATATCATCAAAGCTTACAACACCCAGCAAAAATCAAGCCAGGAAATTAAGGCAGTTAACTTTCCAGGGCTAAACTTCGGGCTTCTCTTTCATACTGTAGGCCCTTATATGTCATGGATAAAAATCTGTTGGAAATACTTGACCTAATTGTTTTTAAAAACACAATCTTTTATTCTTGGACTGTTTGTCCTCCTGTCACTGAGTTGCGGGTGGGGAGACTAGACACCCCCAGACAAGAAACCTAAAAGGTTACTTTGAGACAAGCACGCTGGGGTCTGAGATGGCAGAGCAACCCCACTTCCAGAGCCAGCTTCTCAGTGAGCTCAAACAATGCATACCACTTTACAGATGGAGTGTACACGACAGTCACTAAAACAGCGTTGGCATAAAATCTGATGCTAGTGCAGTCTCTCAATGAAGACATCTGATTATGCAGAACCCACCCTTCTTCTTGTGTTGCTGTTGAAATCACAGAAAACCGAGTACCAGCGAGAGGGCAGGCAGTGTGCGCTGGCTTGGTTTTGTCTCTTAGACTATAGCATGGATTCTAATTGGTCTTATCAATAAAAACCCAGAGTCAGATAGTAGGGGGTGAAAGCTGAAAGATCAGAGAAGTAAAGAAGCCAGTCACTAGAGACCTTTTACCTCTACCAAATCCTCAGACCAAAGTGGGCAAGATCCTGTCTCCACAAATCCTCAGACTGAATGCCATGAGCTTCTATCTCCTCCCATCTTACATTCCTCTCTCAGTTCAGCCACATCTCCTCCTGCCTCTACCTCACTAGTGCTGGGATTAAAGGTGTGAGCCACTCCTGCCCGGGTGTTTCTCTTTTAGACTGGATCAACCTCGTGTAGTCCAGGGTGTCCTTGAATTAACAGAGATTCTGTTCCTCCTGAGTACTGGGATTAAGGGTGTGTGCCAGCCCTACTTGGTTTCTGACTAACTAGTGGCTAGCTCCACACTCAGACCTTCAGGCAAGCTTTATTTGTTAAAGTACCAACAAAATATCACATTACACTGTGAACTGCCTAGCAAGAAAGGAATTAAGAAGAAGAGGTTTTGACTTTTTTTGAAGTTCCCTGTATCTAAAATATCTCTGGCAGAGATCTCAAGGCAGTAGGAGCAATGCTGCTGAGGCTTGTTGGAGAAAGGAAACTGAAAACAAGTGGTTTGGGTGGAGCCTCAAAAATGGCATAATTATTATGCTGCCTGTCAGCGGGGCTCGGGACCCAACTACACAGCCAAGGCTAGGCAAGTTTCTTAGTGAGAGGAGCCAGTCAGACTTTCCACTCTCTGTCTCTCAGCACCTGCTTTTCATGTCCTGCCACTAACTAAGAGTGAAAAGTTTGGTGAGGAGGATGTTTTAAACTATCAGCACACACACTAATCCCTGAATTGAGAGTTTAGGCTGCTGCGGAGAGGGGATCCAGTGAGGGAAGCCTGGTCCGAAGTTTTCTAGAAAAAAATCTTAGAACTTCATTTTTGCTGATCAGCAAATGAAGAGGAAATGAGAGTGGTAAGTTTCTGAGGTTGGGAAGAAGGATTAGTATTGACTATTCCAGAAAAGAATAAGGCTGCAGGGAGCCTGGCTCTAAACCTTCGCTTGACTGAGGGACAGACGTCATCTTTTATTTCACCACAACTGAGACCTTAACAAAAGAAAACCCATTTGGCTGTAGCAGGAAGTAGAATTCATTGTTCAGAGAGTGGACCCAGACTGAGTCTAAAAGGAGCTCTGGTTTTCTGGGTGTGTTGGTCTGGAGGTCTCTTAGTGACATGAATTTATATTTAGAAGAGGGCTTTTGTTTTCTAACTGAAGGAGAAAGAAACATAGGAGTAGCTCTCCAGTTATTCCTAGATAAAAAATAAGAACAATGGCGTGACAGAGGACCTACAACGTAACATTGACTTGAAAGCGACAGAGCCCCAAACTCCAAGTAACAGATAATATATTATATTATTCCACAATCTCAGATGTTCAAGTGGCATGCCATTTATTATCTTTTAAATTATGTATGCTTTTAAGTCTCCATTTCTTTTAGTTTACTAGGTATTATAAAAATTATTTTAGTCCACTTGAAAATTAGATCCCACATTTCCCTTTCCATAGTTAAATTCCTAGAATCTAGGAGAGAGATGACTCATGATAACTGAATATATGCCCGCTGGTGGCTCAGGAAGATTCTGGGACTTTCAGGAGGTGGAACTTACTGAAGAAATCTTATTGGAGGAAGTGTGCCACTGAGGCCGGCTGTGAGAGGTCATAGGCTCCTCACTTCTTCCTCTGTGTGAGCAAACTCTGTTTGAGCAAGGATTGAAATACTCTGTGTGAGCAAGGATTGAAATAGGCCAGCTTCCCGCCTGCCTTGTGAAGGTTAGTCATGCCTTCTTTGCGGGCTGCTATGTCTTCCCTGTGGTGATGAAATCCATCCTCCTGGAACTGTAAGTAAAAATTAACCAGCTCCTCCCCTAAGTTGCTTTTGGTTACTACATTTTATTGCAATAGAAAAGAAACACTTCACTGATAACCTTTGCAGACTTATTGAAATGTAATAACTATTTCTAAGTATTTATCAGAACATAGTTAATTATGGTGTTCAACTTTTTACTTTTTTGCTTTTCTTCGGCTATTTAAAACTTTAGTTATTGAAGGAAGGTGTTTTGTAATTTCCTAATGGTAGGTTTGTCTTTTGTTCATGGAGAACTGTCAAGTTTTGCTTAGAGCTGTTGACTTTATTCAATGAGGTGTATACATGCTTAGAATTTTTATATTGCCTTGGTGACTTTAACATTTAATCATTGTACAGCACCTCTGTCCTTAATGACACTATTTGTCTTATACTCTTCTCTGACAAATATTAATATAACTGTTCCAACTGTGGTTTTTGTGCCTAGTGTCTGATTGATACATTCTGTTCACATTCTTTTCAGTTATTCAGTATTGTAATATTCTCAGTGTGTCTTTTGTAAACACTATAGGACTACAGTGGGCTTTAAGCCAGTTTAATGTTCTTTTTAAGGCTTGAAGTCTAATTTATGTGTATTGTGTCAGTAGAAATATTTGAATTTTTTTGTAAGCATCTTATATCTCTCCATGTGATATTCCCTTCCCGTGTTTGCTTTCTTTTTTTTGTAAAAATATGCTGAAGATTTGCTGGCTGGTGGTGGTGCATGCCTTTAATCCCAGTACTCTGGAGGCAGAGGCATGCGGATCTCTGTGAGTTTGCGGCTAGCCGGGTCAACAAGAGCTAGTTCCAGCACAGACAATACAGAAAAACCCTGTTTAAGATGTTTATTTATGTAGGAGGGTGTTTATTATGTTAGCCATGTTTCTGTAAGTCTCATGTCATCAATTTTATGGGGACAAGTCTTTTTTCATCAGCCAAGAGTAATGCTTTTGGATGTAGTTTTTGGAGAAATCGTGTAAGGTCAAGTTTATTGCTTCAGTGAAGTGGTCTTGCATACAGTTAGTTAAGATGAGGAACCCAGTGCTATTTAGTACACAGACAATATTGTGTAACTTCCCCTGACTCTAGAAATCCTCATTCTATTTATTGCCATAATTTATATGCTGCTTAAATATTACCTTCTCAAAGAGACATCATCTGACGACCTAATTTGAGTCACACCACAATTCCCAGCCTAATCCTGACTGCATATTATATACCATATATATTTATACTTGTGGGCATAATAATGAAGAAATCTTACCAGATTGGTGACTCATTTCCTCAAAGACTCTCAGGATGCCTGACTGGACAGAATGAGCTTACGTGTGAACACCTGCTATTGATCTACTAGTTTATCCCTTCAGTGCCTATCTTTTGCGCTTTTTATTCAAAAGGAATTTTAGAAGTTTTTACACCACAGAGCTTGACTGCTTAATCACAGACAGCAGAGCAGAGTCAAGTGTGGATGCTGCTGTGAAGCAACTGTATGTTCTCTGTATGTTCTCTCTGTGGGAGGGGGTGGGAATGGGGGATTGGGGTAGGGAAGGCAGGCCCATCTTACTGTAGTGATTCTCAGGAGAGGGCATATTGGCACTGGCCTGGTGCTGTGTAGTTTGTAAAGCCCTCTCTACTATGTCAGTTATTAAAGTCTCACAATAGCATCTGCTATTATCTGTATTTAACTTATGGGGAACAAACACCATCAAATAGATACAAATGGGGAAGTGACAGAGCACATCACACTCCTGGCTTGGTAGTATTTTTTTCTTATTACTAGAGTGCTCTTCTAAATTAAAAATCTGGAAACCCACCTGTTAGATGTGACTTTTGGAGATTTGTAAGACGGTGTTCAGGAAACAGCAAGCAGTGATGTCATAGGGAGAAGCTCACCATGAGAACAAGGCCTTGAGCATCTGTGGTCCAGAGTCTAACGGAACTGACAGACGTTTGCTGTAAGACTTTCCTAGGGAGGAGGAAAATTCTCTCTGACATTTCAAAGCCTCGCGCAGCTTCTTGCTATCCCCAGAGCATGACGAATATAAACTTCGAACTATAATAATAGCGTATGTGGAGCACACCAGGTGTCAGAGATGTCTCATGGATTCCGTGCTTATGTAACTCAGTCACATCTCCCATGAAGTCTATGCAGTAGGGACTACCAGGCAGTTCTTCTTCAAAGAACTAGAAAACACCTTTGATCTCATTTTGGAGCTAGAAAGGGAAAGACATAGAATTCTAACCCACGTAGTCTCTGTATCAGGAAAGCAGAGACCAATAGAAACACAAACAAGTACATACTTTAAAATTTTTCTGGTAGCTACATTAAAAGCAAAACCAAATAACATCAACCCAATATGCTTGATTAAAGTCAGAAGTATCCAAGATGTATACTAAGTCTTCAAAAACTCTGACGTGTATTTTGTTCTCAGAGGTCATCAATTCTGATATAAAATTTTCATCTATATTTAAGTTTATATTTATATATACCTAAAATTCATAAAATTTACAGTTGAAAAAGTAGGCTTATATATTCAAGTAATTTTAATCATACTGATTTTCTAGAAACTGAATTTAGTTTGTGTTTTTAATTAAAATTAAATGCAATATAAAATGTAGTTCCTTCAGTTGCACACTTAAAATGTTTGAGAACCATAAGTAGCTGCTATAGGCAGGGTGCTCTGAAATTGAAGCTTGTTTTCTATTTTTTATTTATTTATTGATTGATTGATTTCTGGTGTGCATATGTATGATATATGTCTAAGTTTGTGGTGTGTGTGTGTGTGTGTGTGTGTGTGTGTGTGTGTGTGTGTGTATGCATGCGCGCGCCAGAGATCAAGGTGGGTATCTTTTTTCAATGTTCCCCATATTATTCTTTGAGGCAAGGTCTCATCTGAACCTGGAACTCATTGATTTTGTTAGGATGCCTGGCCAGAAAACTTCAGGGATATATCTGCTGATCTCTGCCTTCCCAGTTCTGGAATTGCAATATTACCTATGACCAGCTTTTGACTTGGGTGCTTGGGAGTCAAACTCATGTTCTTGACTTAAATGCTAGGCAGTTTACTGACAAAACCACATCCCCAGCCCCTATAATTCAGACTCGGCTTCAGTCGGAGAAGAGAAACACTCGTCTCTGTGACTCTGCCTGCCCCAACTGCCCAATTCAAGAATAGTCTCTTTTCACCTCATAATATCAACACTGTCTCTTCATATTCTGTTTCACATGTAGCTACATGACCCTGCACAGATCCTAATGTCTGCTTGGAGAAAGTTGAAAAGCGTTGGAAAGGAAACAAAAACAAACTACTGTGTCTCTGCCTTTCCTCTTCCCAGAGTTCTCTTAGTTTGGTCACCCTGCCTATACTTCTTGCCTGGTTACCGACAAATTGGCATTTTATTAAACCAATATTAGTGACAAATCTTTACAGTTTACAAAAGCATCATCTCACAGTAGAATATAGGCAAAACCTTTTGGACAACATAAAGTAAAGAAGTCAGCCTTTCCTGTCTTGCATTCTGGTCAGAACTGAGAGCTAATTTAAAAATAGAGACAAAGATTATTTCTGTCATTTTATTCCTGTAGGCATGCTGTGCCTGGAGCTAAAAGTAATGGGCAGTTTCTCTCTTCCTGTGCTCTATGTCCCACCTTAGTGAGTGGTGGGAGGAGTTGGTTCTCAGCAGACTGACTTGGATCCCAGGATCTGGCCTTTCTGAATGTAATATACTCTGTGAGATGAAGACTCAGTTGGTGGTTACTATGAACACATACTCATTGACATAGCAAACCGGGGGGGGGAAGCTGAGGAGAATGTGGAGATCATAGGTCTGTGTAAACTCATCCAACTTCTTTGCACAGGCAGGGGAAAGCAGAGAGGAGATATATCCAAGGACAGTAATCTGATTCAGGTGCTGTGCCCTTTGATTAACAAAGGTTTTCACTTTATCTCACTTGAGCTCCTGAAGCAGATGATACTAGCTTGATTTTCTCTATGAGGTCATAGAGATTAAGAAGGACCAGGTAGTACACTCAGAGTACAGGGCCAGCCAAGCACAGAGCTTTGAACACATCTTGGCCATTGATCTCACCATCGTCTACACAAGTCATGCTTCCTTTTCAAAATATTAGAATTTACTGTATGTATATTTATTGTGGAATCAGTTCTTTCCATTTTACATGACAAGCATGTTACCTGTGGAGCCACCTCCCCAGACTCAAATGTTCTTCTCTGGGTTAATTTGTATGAAAAAAAAAAAAAAACATGCATCTTGATTCACAATTGGAGAGGAAATCTTTTAAGGCTCTAGGCTTTCTAGGCTTAAAGACAAATACAAGCTTGGATTCAGATGGGTTTCACAGTCATTTTTTTTAATCCCAGCTTCTGCCTTTTATCATATTGACACTCTGAGTCCATCTCGCTCTACTCGGCTGGCTGTTGTCACCACCCTCTCTGATTCTTATATTTCTTTTCTCCTTTTTCTATGCCCCCTACTTACTATGTTTTCCCCTTGGATGCTCACTAAACGTGTTGTATATGTTAAGATTATGATCAATACCAGGAAAAGAAAAATCATTAAATTCTTTTGGACTGGAGAGATATCTCAGCAGTTATTGCTCTATCAGAGTTATCAGTTATCAGAGTTACTGCTCTACCAGAGGACCTGGGTTCAATTCCTGCCACCCACATGACAGTTCACAACTGTCTGTTATTCAAGTTCCAGAGGATCCAACATTCTCACCCAGACATACACGTAGGCAAAACATCAATGTATACAAAAATAAAAAAAATAAAAATGTTATTCTTTGGGTCAAAAATGAGAACCAAAAACAATTCCTCCCCACCAAAAAAAAATCTCTTTAGGGTGCCACATTGATTTTAAAAATGGGAAGTTTCAAGAGAGAGCAACTGTGGTGATGGGAAGTTTCAAGAGGGAGCAACAGTGGTGTCGCAGAGGAGAGAGTGTTATATGAGAAGGCAGCAAAAGGCATTCAGA